ATTATAAACTAACTGACACAAATTGATACTTATGGAAAAGTCCCACATCCAATTCATGTAACAATGACCCACAATCAGGCTAGGCTCAGAGCCACGTTCCCTTCTCCAGGCTTCTGTGTGCCTCTAGGCAGCCCAACAGACAGAAATCCTCCATCTGCCACGGGCTGCCAAGCTTTGCCCACAGGCGCTGTCCTGCTTGGCAGGGATGTAGGTGAGCCAGCAGCACTGACACACAACTACAAATCTTTCAATGCTGATGCTAACGACCACTAGTTAACAGCGGATGACAAAACAAGTGACAGGAGGACTGGACCAGACTCCTTGAAATTTCAGGTTTTTGGTCTGCTAAAATAAGATGATGTTCCTCGAATAATGAGAGTCCATGCTAATGCAGCAAGTTCCCTCTAATGAAGTCTAATCAACAGGACCAATGCAAGCCGATTCAAATTTAAATGCAAAGTACTGCGCATCCCCCACCTCCCTCTCTCTATCCTTCTCTGCAGGTCTTCAGAGTCAGGGGTGTTTCTGAATGATCCCTCTAATCTCAAACCACACTGGCTTTCATGTTTCTCGACTCTTTCGGGCCTGATAATGGATCTACCTTGACTTAAAAAGTGCCAGACTGACTACAACTCAGCAGGCCCGGTGTGGGGTCACAGTATCTACTGTTAACTTCAGCATGAACTGACGAAGCTAACCTATTAAGAAGCTAAAAGCTGGAGATGAGATGTAGAGCCCTTTCAAAGCTCTTCACTTCAGTAAGACTCAGAATTATCCAGATGACTACAGGGTTCAGAGCTCTGATCAGTCTTTTATATAAGGTGAGACAGGATGTACAGGATGTATGAAATGGCCTCCAAAATCAGTGTGAAACTTTTAACAGAGAGAATAGCTTACTCTACAAAACAAAAAACAATGCATTCTGCATGCATGCTTGCACTGGCGAGCCGTGCAGCACTGGATGATATCTCTCGTGCATACAGAGGAAATGCAGCAATATCAGTCTTCAGTCCTGGCCTAAAAATTAAACTGTGTTTGCAAGACTCAGACGTCATCACACACTACTCAAAAAAAAAACAGATGATAAGTTTAATTTCTATTAAAAGCCTTTTATCCCTTGCAGTGCCGTCAATGCTGATGCTGAATTTCTAACAGGCTTTAAAAGTTGTTAGCTTTTATTCTGAGATAAGTGCAATGCTAGAAGTGTTAAAAACCAACAGTTTTGGACATGAAGTCAAAATGCATAATGTGACTAGTCATGGTACATAAGCAAAATTTCTATTTGACGACCCTATCAAAAGTCATATGTCTGATTTAATAATGTCTACATGTGTGCACTGAAATCTTGAAATAGCATTAGGATGGTCTTCATGTAAAAAAAAAAAAAAGAAATGGCACGTACCTGGGCGAAACCACAATCTCAAAACAATTAGCATACAATTATGCAACTTCATACCCAATATCTTGGGTTTATCTAATTTTTACTAATCCATAACTTCTGATTATTTTTTCCTATTTCTCTGAAATTTAAAATACTGCAACTAGACTTTGCTCTCTTTTCTTAATGAGTGCAAAATGAGGTGAGTATTTAATAGCTAATCATGTAAAATGAAAACATACACTGATGTATAACTGTCAGTTACATAACTGAACAGAAACACTTGGTCATCAAATTTATGTTAACAATCAGTTTAATTCATAATGATTTGATAAATCAGTCTATTAATTCAATGTTTGTGATTTTTTTTGTCAATTTTTAGAAAAAAATGTTAATGGTCACTTAACTCGAGAACCTCTTGGAATTTTTCACAGACCACAATTTGACGAGAATCTGCATTACAAGAATCAGATGGTTGAATGGTTTGTTAATTTGTTTTTAAAATCACTCCTGCATTCTTTCCTATCTTAGCCACATCTCAATGCCCTCAAGTACGTCTTAATTGTCTTAAGAATGTTATGTTTGTGTACTGTAGTTACAGATTATAATTTTGTGAATTTCTGGGTTCTTTTAAGGATAGACTAAACAAGAACAAGTCAAGACACACACTCAAAGGACAATCTGCATCTGCATCACAAGACTCTTATCATGAGGTGGGAATACCATGCTGCCGCACATTTACAAAACACGCTGCAAGAGATCACACAGTGAAGTTACATACAGTGTATATGAGCCCCAGGATCTGTGTTGCACAACAACTCAGCTTTGCAAACTCTTTTGACTTTGTGGGAATATGAAAAACTAGCCTGCAGCAATTCTCCACAAATCTACAACCACATGGCACTATAGCTCAGGATGTGACACTGTGCACCAAGTGTTTCTAGAAATAACCTGCCACACTTCCGAACAGGCGACTGGCCACTTCTAGAGATATTTCTCCTGATCCACTTCATTAAGAATGACAGGGACATTATTCATCCACACAATTTGCAAAACAAATGATGCGTCCTTTAAGGCATGAAATTCGACAGTCTAAATAGTGCTGCTTTTAGAATCTTAGTGAATCTACACGGATATAAAGACAAGCCATTCTAAAAAGTATTCCTTAAAACTAACCGGTACCAGTACTTGTTACTAGAAAGTAATCCAGTTATTTATTTATTTTTTACATGTTTTAGTTTCACAAGCAGGATAACTGTTCTATTGTTACTATTTACAATTTTAACATATTTGTCACTGAATGGAAATTTTAGGTTCATATAATATCTATGCACTTCCAATTGCTGTTGCTGGTACCTATTCCAGTTTTACTAACTATTCTATAGCTTCCACTGGAACAGACACAAGTGTCTCATAAATGAATACTAGCATCTAAAACTTAAATGCAAACAAAGCTGGGACAGATTCAAGTATTAGTGCCAAATAAATAGCTACTAGTAAAATTAGGTACCAGTAGCAACTGGAAAAAGTACTTATCTGAAGTGAATAATGAACCAAAGATAATGTGGAATTTGTTACTAGAATAGTACCTGTATGTAATGAATAAGTACTAGTGACAAATTGAATTGATTAGTAGTCACTATTTTAATAAATACTGTCCTAGTAACTAAATGTATAGTTGCTAGTTAAACTAAAAAGAACAAGTCATCGGTAGGCCAGTCACGATAACAACTTTTTGTTATGCGATATATTGCCCCAGAAATAATTGCGATAAGCGATATTATTGTCATTTTAAAGAACATTTTATGCCACTGAATATATAATCATAATGTAACAGCATAATAATGCAAGAAGGCCTACACACTTCCAAATGACAACAAACATTTAATTTTTAAGAATATTTAGGTCATGGAAATTAAGTATCAAAATATTAGATACCTTAAAAAACTGAATAAATAGTAAATAAATATTTTCTAACAAAAAGTGCAAAATAACAAGTAGAAAAAAAGAAAAATGCACAAATAACTTGTATGGAGATTTTTCCATCTACAGATTTTTCCCTGACCTTCTTTTCTCTGTAAATTAAGGGTGCACACTATTGCTGAAAAACTCAGATGTCCGTATGCACAAAGGCACAGATCCCTAAACAAGACCATATCTGCAGATGAAACTTTTTTGTAGAAGCATTTTTTAAATTGGAACTAGCATGACTACACCACGTTATGTACGAGAAGCTGCAAAAGACACAGGCGCAAGTGGAATGTAAAAAACACGGTGACATTAATTTATAAGTAAATATAATTGGCAATATATTGCGTCACCAACAATTATTGAGGTCATGTACATATATTGCGCGATAAGTCGATATATTGATTATTGCGACAGGCCTAGTCATCGGTGGATTATTTACTAATACTTTAAAATAAGCATTAGGCCAAATAACATAAATGTAGATACTAGTTAGGCATGTCATATTACTGTACATACAGTTACCGAATGCAAGACCTGAAGCAAAAGATAAAATACATAGCATAAAACACATATAATTAACAAACAAATGAATCTATCCAAATTTTCAAATTCCACCTAAAAGACACAAAATCTCCATTACTTTGCCCATCATTATTCTGTCACAGCAACTTCCTTCCAGAAAGCACCGTGTCTAAAGTCTTTGTTCTAGACAGAGGGAATATATGCACTGATGGGAAACAGCACAACACATGTTGTGCGCCGCCAGCCTAAACTGAAACCGATCTGGTTCGAAATGATTAACCTTTTGCTCCACAATGCTGACACACTGAAACAGAGATGCTCCGCTGGGGAAAGCCTCATCACTGTCTGTGACACACACACGATGCGCTGCCTACTGCTGGACGCCTATTATGTTGCATTCCAGGTAAAATGTTTCAACAGCATAACCTATGACTTCATACTGTGCATAGAAACGTAAAAAAGTGTGTTACCTGGTTGTGGTTTCAGTAAAAACAACGTGGCTCATTTTTATCGAAGCTAGTACTTCCCACCGTGCCGCGTTCAATGTGTTACGGAGAGTAAGAAGATTTGAACGAATAGTTGACAGTGTTCGAAAAGCCCCACCCACCAGTGCTCCTATTGGTTCACCTTTCCCGTCACTCAAGAGTCACCGGAGCAAAACTTTGTAGGCATGGCAACTGCGTTTCCAATGCCGCTTTTCCTAGCCAATAGAATAATGGTTCAATTTCACGAGGCAACGCCTACCTGCCAAAGACAAGAGTCATTGGATAAAGTGTTTATCAAAGTAAGCCTTTACAAAAGGCGGGAACCCTTGAGTTCGATTATTGTGAGGTATGCAAATTCATTTCTTTTCCGAAATTCATAAAGACAAACCGCTGTCCAAATGTCCACAAAAATGAAGTACTCAGCACAAAAGCAAATTTGGCAAAGTGCGCATCAAATATTTTCTGATAACTGCGATTTATGCATTTGCACAGGAAAAAAAGAAATACAAATACAATAATAAAAGAGTAAAAATGTCTTTTTTTAAAAGCAGCACACAATTCCATCACACAATTATATATATCAAGTTCAGTCAATAATTGAAATGACACAATGTCACAATTAATCATAATTTGTATGTGCCAAAAATTTAAAAGCAGTTTCAATACATTGACAATTAATGGGTATTGACCATATTATTGAAGGCTCATAGTTACCCATGAGCAATGTGTGATATAAGTTAATGACAAATTTAATAATAATAAATTATTATTAATTAATACACTGACCTTAGTATGCTGATTCAGGTCATTTTACATAAATACAGCCTCTGCATGATGGCAAAACAAGACCTATTTATATTTTAAAAACCACCAAAAAACGAATTAATGTCTCAGATATGCATCACATGGCAATTTCTCAGCTTTCTTTATTAATACCAATTAGCCACACAGCAGAGTTTGCTCAAGGTCAAGGATGCACAAATTGTTACATATTTAATCAAAACACTACATAACAAATGTTATTCTACAGCAGTGTGATTCTTGGAAGCAGAAGGGGAAGATCCGCTGTGCCCCGAGGGATGTGGGAGTGGGTCAGAGAGAAGAAGGGGAAGTCAGTTCCGGAGTGGGTGTATTATAGTCTGGGTGGCTCTTGCTACGGTGAGCCGTGACATTGTCTCTCTTTTCAAAGCGCCGACCGCAAATCTCACAGGGGAACTGGTAGGTGCTCTCAGCATTATGCTTTCGCATGTGCCAATTCAGAGAGGCTTTCTGTCGACAGGTAAAGCCACACACCTCACACCTAAAAAAGAGAGATGGTGCGGGTTATATCTGGAGCTGAAAATTGTAGTAGCAAAGCCTTGAGCAATATAGTTGTTCTGTTAAATATTGATGGGATGTTCATGTAAAAATTAGTTTGGGAGTTACGCAAGCTTTGGTATAAACAAAGGGCCTAGTGCACGTGTGTGTGGTGAAACTCATACTGCAGCGGTTTCTCTCCAGTGTGTATCCTGCAGTGGATGATCAGGTTACTGCTGGTTCGGAATGCCCGGGCACAGAACTCACAGATATAGTCTCTCTGATCTCACACACACAAATAATCATAAAGAGAGAACCACAGCATGAAAAACACTAATTTACTGTACTTGTCCAGTGGTTTTGCTTGCGGAAACAGATTTTACATTGGACAACAAAATTAACAATATTCCAACAATTACAACAATATTAATAGTATTAACGTTACATTAAATAAGAAAAACTTTAACATTACATTATTATATTTTCTTGTACCTTCTATAATTGTTCATAGTTTTTGAGGAAATGTTTTGGAACAACTTTATATTAAGTGTCTCTACCTACGATGTACTAACATTTAAAATAATCATTTGATACAATGCGCTTATTTTGTAAGTACATGTTTTTATATCGTACTTATATTTTAAAATACCTTACGGTAATTACATCTGTAATTAATTTCTGTAATTACATCTAAGTACACTGTTGACCCAAGCCTATCCCTAACCTTATCCATTTTGGCACCTCTTTAATCTTCTACCAAATTAACTGAATTAAATATAAATGAATTTGTGTCAAAATACAGTAGAGTCTGATTAGATACCCAGCCTTACAACAAAAGTAAGGCAGTAAGGCAGTAACAACAAAAGACATGGGAAGTGTTTTCTTCTTTCTTTTAAAAGTTAATAACCCTTTTTTTTTCCATTCTATTATTGCATTCAGCATTGTTGTTTATCTGCAAAACAGACCTATATCCCACAAGCTGACAACCACTGGATTAGAAGAATTGAATTACCATATTCATTTTTTTTTTTTACCTGAATAGACTAATGTTGAGATACTGTCTGGACATATCAATGCATGCATATACTCATACATATAGTGCCTGTCCAGAAGTACACTGGATGATATTTATCACAAATATCATTCATATGGACTAAAAACTCACTACTATGTAACTTCTCATGCTCCTTCAGATGCTTCTTAAAGTCGAATGACTTGCTGCAGGTGGGGTGCGAGCAGATAAAGGTCTTCTGCTGGAGATGTTGGTACTTGACGTGATGCTGTGGAGAAGAACAGATTGTGAGATGCTTTTCCATAAAACCTTTTCTTATGGATCAGTGCAGAATAATGGAAATGAGAGTTCTTCTCTCTCAGAGTTGTTTTAGTCCAGTAAAGATTAATGAATGTGTCATGGACATGTCAATACTGACTCAGCACTCACATTTAGATATTGCAGACTAGAGAAAATCTTATCGCAGCCTTCAAACTCGCAAGGCAAAATGACTTTGGATGTTGATTTTCTGTAAACACAAAAGATAAGTATCATCTAAATATGACGTTAACATATGATAGATACAACAGGACATTCAAAATAAAACCATGGAAATATTAACAAATACATAAATAAATGTTCTAATATTTAAAATATACATAACTATCTATACATAAAAAACTATATAAATACAAAATACTATATAAATGTTTTTTAAACCTATAGGTTGGTTTAAAAATATATATTAAACTAATATATTTATCTTGGTCAAATTAAAAAACAAACCGTTTTCTTTTGCCACCAATCTGGGACACGTCATCTTTCAGTAACTCTGGCCTGGAGAGAAAAATGTACAGAACTTGTACAGGTTCCATTCAACTTATTGGGAATCAAAATACAGAAATATGTGCTGTTAGACAAATCACCTGATATTTTTAAAGGGTTAGTTCACCCAAAGATGAAAATTCTGTCATTAATTACTCACCCTCGTGTTGTTCGAAACCCGTAAGACCTTCGTTCATCTTCGGAACACAATTTAAGATATTTTTGATGAAATATGAGGGCTCTCTGACCCTCCCATAGACAGCAAGGTAACTACCACGTTCAAGGTCCAGAAAAGTACCAAGATGATCGACAAAGTAGTCCGTGTGACATCAGTGGTTCAACTGTAAAGTTACGAAGCTACGATAATACTTTTTTGCGCAAAGAAACCACTGATGTCACACGGACTACTTTGTCGATCATCTTGGTACTTTTCTGGACCTTGAACGTGGTAGTTACCTTGCTGTCTATGGGAGGGTCAGAGAGCCCTCATATTTCATCAAAAATATCTTAAATTGTGTTCCGAAGATGAACGAAGGTCTTACGGGTTTCGAACAACACGAGGGTGAGTAATTAATGACAGAATTTTCATTTTTGGGTGAACTAACCCTTTAAGAGTTCCTGCCTTTTTGTTGGCATTGTGTGTCTCAGGAGGATCTGCTTTACTCTGGGTCCCTCTGTTGGTTAAATTCAGCACTGCAACTTCCTCATTGCTAGGAAACAGAGAGTTAATTTAACTTATGTCTTTTTCAGTCATTAAGCGTTTCAGTACAAATGAATAGCGCACATACATATCGGTGGGACTTTGGTTTTCAATGGAAACTCTTGCAGGTCCACCTCCTGTCAGCTCATCACTGTCTGCTGGGGATCTGACAGTCAGACAAAAAATCAAAGAGACTTAAAACTGAAACAAAATATTGTAAATACAACTAAACAACCAAATATGCAAAGATAAATACCCATTATCTGAATGTAAAAAGTCAACAGCCATATCATTTCCTTCCTGTGTCCCAGGAGTCATTGTAACACCTTAACACATGGTTGTAGTTAGTCCTTGAATAACAAAAACAGCATATTTCTTTGAGAAAAATACTTTAAAACAGTCACCTGCATTCTTGTTTTCCCTAAACATTTCAGACCTTGTCTTGTGTTTCTGTTCTGTGTCATTTGTGGTAACTTCAGCATTTTCTTGTTGTTGTTGTCTGGTTTTTAATCCAGTCACCAATTCTTGTCTTTCTATGTCTGTGTCTGGCTCCTTCAGCCACCTCCTGCCTCGTTGTTTGAGTCTCTTTGGGCTAAATGCAGTTCTATCACCTTGATTTTTCAATGTCATTACCTTCTTAAGAGGAGACCACAAAAAATGATGTCCATTTTCGCAGGTGTATTTAAGACACACGTCCACCTCAGATGAGTCTTTGGACTCAGTTTCTCTTGTCCCTGCTACATGAGAGCTCTGATCTCGCTCTGTTGTTTTTTTGACAGTGCCAGAATGCAGGACAGGGGGAAGAGGGCACGTCTGTCCATGGTTGTGGACCAACAGGATGAGTTCCTGCAAAGACTCCTTGGTAGTTGACAAAGTGCTTGTCTCTCCTTTCCCATCACCTAAAGAAGCCCAATGTATAACCAGAGTAGACATTTAACATATATATAAACTCCCTTAATGTAATACATTTTTCCGAAAACAATATCTTAAGTAATTTTCCTTCTTAAATAAATGCATTTTGATTTAGGAATTTTCAAATATATGTAAGACAAAAAGACAAAAACACTAAGAAAGAACATTTTGCATTTTTTGAATGTTTAACAACACAAAATATGTTTTATTTAGTTATGAAGAAATCATAGAGGTTAATATACTTGATAAATGATAAAGTATTATAGAATCAATTATGTCAGACTTGTCTTTTTGTTGGTGTGCTATGCCTTTAAGGAGGGAATCTGGGGTTTACCTGAGCACTTGATACAAACTCTTGAAGCATAGCTGCAAAACATAAAGCAAATGTCATTGTCAGTTATACCACATTTTATCTGTAATGCGTCACACACCACTAAAAGACCTGGCTGTTAGCCAAACCTCAATATGTTTAGAACTCCATAAACCACAAGTTCATCTGTGCTTTTCTGCCTATAATTTATTTTAAGCTCACTCATAATTCCTGCCTTTTCCCTGTATGATTTGGAGTTGGATCAGAACAACTGGAAAAAATCTGAGTCTCATCTTCAAAGCCAGAATCAACAACTGCAGATGCAATTCAACAGGAATTCTAGAGCGCGCATCCAGCGAACTGTCATCTAGTGGGTCTAAGGGTAACTGTATCTCTCTGCAGAACAGGATGACTGTATTATATACCTCTCCAGCAGATGCTGAGCGAGCTCTGAGTGAAGAGAGAAGCCCAGTTTCTCTTTGAGCTGACCCCAGCTCTGCAGACATGAGCCCAGCCGCACGCGAGACTTACTCCTGCGGGCATCTAGCTCCCTTCGCCGCTGACTGCGCTGAGTGTCTTTAGAGGATGACATTACACTGCCACTCAAACGACACTGAAGATGGAGAGAGAAATCAGGTGAAGATGATGAGAGGTTTGTGTGTCCGTTGCTGTAGTACAAATGTGGACTGAAATCATCAGACAGATGAATTGTTTAATAAATGGCAATCATTGGTTTCCAAAATGTCACATTTGCAAAAGGTATTGTAAGAGCACTGTAATGGTTTTAATTACAGTTACAGCACAACTGCATAAATAAAGGGCTATCATACTAATTTATTCATATTAATCCATTATGACTACTGTATTATGACTATTATGGCTGTATTATACTCATTATGACTAATACATTTAATCCATATAATTTAGACATAGTTTTCTGTATTTTTTTCATAGAAAATGAATAGAATATAAAACGGTTCATATAAAATCTAATTGATATTGAGTCGAGGTTGACTATTATGTTCTGAAACATTAAATGTTTTGTTGGAAAACACAAACACACATTTAAAAATTTTCAGGCTATATTTTGCACTCTGTTCATGGAAAGTGCCACCAGCAGCTGCTCTCGCGCCTCAATTTATGTATGTGCATTATATGTCTTAAGCTGACAACTTGTAAGTAGCAGGAAAGAAACCACTGACATACCTTAAATAAGACCCTGAGCGATCGTGTTTGCGGGGCCCACTTGCTCAAACTGTTGCCCTTTTAAGGAGGACCCGCTCAGTCGATCAACTCAGTCTATCGCTAAAGTCGGTATAAAAAGCATTAAAAATATCTCGCGTTGAAAAAGATGCTACACAGAAAATTATGAATATTGGCTTAATTCATCTTCTCAGTGCGATTATGTGAAATATGTCATCACTTCCAGAGTATTATGTCAAGCGAGCTGCAGAAACAGAAAGCAAATCGGAAGTTTCCTGTCCCAGAAGTCTTCGCGACACAGCTAGGATCTATGGGATATGTAGTCCGAAAACAAACATATCTGCTATATTATCATTTTATATGATAATTCAGTGTTTTAAGCATTAAAAGGCTTGATCTACGTCATTTCTAAGAAGTATAACTGTGCAAACAAAATAACAGAATTTATTAATATGCACATTATTGTTTACATTTCTTAAGCAAACTACCTTAATACACTGTGTGTCATGATTTCAATAGCCTATACTTTACACATTTAACATTTTCAATAATTTTCTGAAATATAGACTAAGTACACTTGGTTTTGTAATACCACTACATTTATTACTACTACAACTAGGCTAATAATAGTAATAAAATTAAAGTATTTGAATAAATGGGTACACACTCTCATCTCATTTCTATAATAGGGCCCACACAGCCACTAAAAACATTCAAAGTTCCTGTTAGCAAACGGTAGCAAAAATGCAACAGGGTGAAAGACATGAGATAAGGAGTGTAACGACGAGAACTCAAAAAGGAAGCAACATCAGTTTGACATGTGAGACTGGGCTCAACCCACAGCTGCATGCATCAGATCACCCTACCACACATCACAAGAAACACACAACGCACACTGCTTACCTCTCATCTCACAGCCCAGACCACAATGGACGAACTCGGTGAGTTGTTCAACTATATGTCTATTCTATATGTCATTCTAACAATAAAGTCTTAATCAGTGTAAACATATTTGTAATCCAAAGACTGAGATGATTATCTTTATTTTCTATCATTTTACTACAATTCTCTGGTAGTCTCATTTAGACTGTGACCTATAAATGCAAGGAGGTATTTGTGGTATGAGAATTTTTCTGTGACTGTTTCAATGGTTTACTCATATTGGACTAAAACACTCATCAGCATGCCACACATTTCAATGCGACCAGTGCATTATCAGTGAAAAGCTGTGACATTTTAGAAAATAGACAAAACACATGAATGAATTGACACTGATGCTGCTGAACCAAACAACAGCATCAGTGTCTGACAGCACACAGTCCCTGAAGATGTAACAGGTTTGAATACAGGTTTATACCCAAGCCGTTCTAAGAGAGAGTTTGAAGTGTTGTCATCCAATATACAGTATATATACACACATATATATATTATACATTTTTTTTGCTGGTAGCACTTTGGTATACTAAGGATTTATTTTTCTTCTCTGCATGTGAAAAGTAATGACTCCTGTCACTCTTAAGAATAAATTGATGTTCTTGTGAAGGATTTTTTATAAGCTCCCATTTTTCTTGGTATTTTGACAGAAGTGAGTCAGATAACCCATGTCTATATTTCTATATTTCTATGTCAGCAAAAAAGCGTGGCAAAAGTTTGAAATTCATGTGTTTGTTATTTTATGTTCTGCATCCGTTGCGATGACAGCGACGTGCCTTTTCACTTCCTCAGGAAATGACACGGATTGCTAACGTACAGTGGCTTTCCTTTAGTTCAATCATAACCATGATTACTTCAGTGCAGTATTTATTTATTTTTGGTCAGTGTATGTGTCAAAGTTTGTGTTCAGTGTTCACTGATTTCAGTGCAGGTGTTTCACATGTGTGAATTTGATATTGCAGACATGCTTTTAGAGGAGTTGGCTCAGAACTCCACCCAGACTTCAACTGTTCCTGCACCCATTCCACCCAAAACTCTCCAACTGGGAGCCTCGGTTAAAAGTAACAACACAACTCAGCTTGAACAAGTAATTACATTTCAGGCCAATTCATTTTCAAATTGAATTTAAAGAAGAATTTGAAAAGCATTAAAATTTCGAAAACTTTCAAAAACAGTTTGGGGCTGGTAAGATTAGTCTCTTATGCTCATATTATTACAATTTTATATAACTCTTTGAATATATTTGAATATATTTTGAAGTATAAGTTATTCTTGTGACAACAAAGCTGAATTTTCAGCAGTCTTTACTCCAGTCTTCAGTGTCACATGATCCTTCAGAAATCATTCTAAAACGCTGATTTGTTGCTCAAGAATCTGATTATCATCAATGCTGAAAACAGTTGTGCTGCCTCATATTTTTGTGGAAACCATGATGCATTTTTTCCATGATTCTTTGATGAATCGAAGGTTCAAAAGAAGTATTTATTTGATATAAATATAAATAATTTTTTAACATTATTTTGCTGTCACTTTGTATCAATCTAATGCATCCTTGATATGCATTAAAATATGAACTTCTTTAAAAAATAACATCTTACCGACCCCAAACTTTGAACTATTAAATATCTACAGTATTTAGTCCCAAACTGAGCCATTCTTATGTCTTTCTCCTCCCATTGCAGACTGAATCCTCTAGATTTGTTGCTGGTCCAGGAAAGACATGTAATCCCTACAGGTATACCCACCTCCCTCCAAAATCTGGAGTAGAAAGAGCCTGTCCATTGACGTATCTTATTTATAAAATACCTTTTGGCATACATGGTGTCCTTGGAGGTTCAGCAGTTCAATAAGAAGAAGAATCTTTTTCTAGTGTGGTTCCAGTCCCCGTGGAGGCCGGAGTGATGAGTCCCGGCACAGCTACACGAGAGCTCGACTCCATCATGAATGAGCTGCTAGGGCTAGGCCTGGAGGTGAGCGAAACATGCATCAGCTGCTGTATGTTAAATCACTATTGCACATTATGAGTATCACCAGCAGAGGGCAGTATAAGCATATAAAGGTTCCTAATTTATGCCCCCTTGTCAATTACTGAAAGAAAAGTCATTAAAATTGTCCAAAAATGCTTTATTTTGTATAGGTTTCAGAACCCACATCAAACCCACCTCCAATGGCGCACAAGTCAATGAAAGACAAAAAACCTGAGGAAACTAAAGAAAGTGATAGTGGAAAGCAAAAAGAGGCTAAGAAACCACAGCATCCTCCTCTGTCAGAGAAAGTATCCAAGAATGTGGATGCTATAGATGACTTGCTGGGCTCTCTCAGCTCAGACATGGAGAAAATGGGGGTCCGGACAGCTGCCAAAGGCCACTGTGCTTCTTGTGGCAAGTGTATAGCTGGGAAGGTACTACCAAGAGGCAGACAACAAATCTGCAAATTACTAATCAGCTTTCTGTACTAACAAACATGTCATCCTGTATTCCAAACTGCAGATGATCACAGCTTTGGGTCAGGTGTGGCATCCAGAACACTTTGTGTGCACGGCATGCAGGGAGGAACTGGGCACATGTGGCTTCTTTGAGAGAGACGGCAAGCCGTACTGTGAGAAAGACTACCAGAACCTCTTCTCCCCTCGCTGCGGTTACTGCAAGGGTCCTATTACTCAGGTGACCTGCCATATCAGTCTCTATTTACAGTAACGGAAGTAATTGTGAATTATAACAAATTCTTATAGTAAACATTATAGTAAACCAAATTATTATGAATTATTATAATATTATAAGTAAACAAAATGAAGTAATAACCTAAATGTTTATATATATATGTGTGTGTGTGAGTGTGTGTGTGTGTGAGTGTGTGTGTGTGTGTGTGTGTGTGTGTATA